GTTATTCTATTCAATGTCCTCATATGCTTTCAGTCCAAAACTTACAAGGTTCTTCTCTGTGGCCTGTTATCCAATTACATCAGTCTGTATGAAGCATCTGTGATTAACTGCCTGGCACCCCACCTAGGTGCTTCCATCACATAACTGTTTCCTCACCACTGAGACACAGGACCAAGGTATTATAGTTGGGCTTTGCACACAAGGACTACTATAGATGACACTACCTTAGGTGCAACAGGAACTCTCTATTGAACAGAAATACAGTTTTTACTGCACTTCGGAAATAGGGGCAGTCTCACATGAACAATAAAAACAAACAATAAACATTGGGATACATATCCCACACTGATTAGATAATGAGGTAAAGTTGACACCAGACTAATCCCATCATGTAGGAATCTCCAGGAGTACTAGCCAGCAGACAGAAACAATAGGAGACCACCTCCTCTCCAAGACTGTGGACTTGCTGCTAGGGATACATTTTTCTGGTACTGTTTCCCCGTTGTACGAATCCCTGCTGGGGGGGAGGGAAGACCATTTCCCCAATCTGGCTGATTGTTGGGGAGGGAGGATGGCTTCTTCCAATTCCATACTGTGTATCTGCCACTTGGGAGGGAAGAAAAGCTGAGTACTTCTCCCTGAGGTTCCCGTGTTCCTGTAGGTGGTAGGCAGAGGTAGTAGACCCTCTGTCCTGTTACCAGAGCTTCTGCTGGGACTGTGTATGGGCAGAGACTGGTGGCACTCTGCCTCACTGCCAGCGCTTCAGCTGGGGTTAGGAGTTCCACTATATTAGCCAGCAGCTAGAGAGAAGGGCAGTCTGCCCTGGCTCCCTGGAGCTCTGGAAATGTTGTTGGTGCTGGGCAGAGGTCAGTGGTGCTCTGCCCTTATGCCAGCTCTTCTGCTGGGAAGTAAAATGAAAATTCGGCGGCGGCCTCGCACAAATCCTCCAGGGCCATCGATTGTTGTAGGTAGAGGTCAGCAATGCTCTGCCTCAATGCTTCTACATTGATTGGGCACAGCAGAATCTGATCAACAGGTGCCAGCCAAAGGTTGAGTCCTGACACCCGTTAATTGCCAAGGAGACTGACAGAACACAGTCCTGCCTATGTAAACAAGGCAGAGCTGTGCTCTGTCAGCGGCAATTTGCTAGATTTTCTTTCCTTGCAAAGCAGGGAATAAACTTTTGCAGATTGCCTAGTAAAAATACATTACTGTGTACACAAAATAGATAGTTTGGCACACAGTTAACCCTTTGATCTCCCTAGATGTTTAACCCCTTCCCAGGCAGTATCATTAATCATTGGCAGTGTACATTTTTAGCAGTGATCACTGTATTAGTGTCATTGGTTCCCACAAAGTGTCAGTTAATGTCAGACTGTCCGCAGCAATACTGCAGTCTCATTATAAGTCGCTGATTACCACCATTACTAGTATAGAAAAAAAAAATCCAGTATATTTACCATAGTTTGTAGAAGCTTTAAATTTTGCACAAACCAATCAATATACACTTATTGGGATTTTTTACCAAAATTTGTGACAGAATACATTTTGGCCTAAATTTATGAAGACATTTTATTTTTTTTTAATTTTTTATTTGATATGATTTATAGCAGAATGTATAAAAATATATATATATATATATATTTAATTTCGGTTTGAATTACATTTTTTCATTTATAGAGCAATAAAACCCAGAGGTGACCAAATACCACCAAAAGAAAGCTCTATTTGTGGGGAAAAAAATTATACAAATTTAATATGTAAAATAATGCAGTGGCGTATAGCGAAAAATGGCCTGGTCAGGAAGGGGGTAAATCTTCAAGAGCTGAAGTGGTTAATAAATAGATTACAGCAAGAGACCTCAGCATCAGGTTGTTCTGAGCTGCTTATATTAACATCTGCTCTGAGTTTAGGAGGGGGATTGGTGCATTCAATGCTGGTTTGAGCACAGAGACCCCAAATCTGTATCATGGTCCTCCAGTTCTCAGAGTCTGTATATTTCAGGAAGACATGGACTTGAATTTGAAGTAAAACTACTCCAAAGGTGCACCCAGGTATAGACCTCCCAAAGAATAGAGCCCACTCAGATGCCAAAGCCCATGGTCAGTAGGCAAGAGACTAGCCTTCAGGCCCCTCCAAAAGCCCCTGTCCCGGTTGGGTCTGTCATAACATCATTCTAGAAAAAGTTTTTGGTAAATCTTTGATACTTTGGCCATACAGTACACATATTGACTGATATTTACATGTTATTTATCTTAAACTGATTTATATGACTTTTCCTTTAAAGTATAGTGTATTATTAATGAGTATATACTTTTAGTTATTACTTTTTGAGTATTGATGTGCTTTACATTTTTATATATGTGTGTGCTGTTTAATATTTTTGTGATTATATTAAAGTGTGTGCATAGTCAAAACGTTTTTTAAGTTTTGGATAGAGTAAAGAAGAGTAAAACAAACATGTCAGGATATTTTTTGCTGTCTGTGTCCCACTGGACAGATTTTCTTTCATGCAAGGGCAACTGAAATGATTTTCCTCTTATACAGTTGGCACCAGAACAGATGTTCTCATCTGTGTTTTCCAAGTGCAAAATGTTGGATTTCCTCTGTGATATGGTCATCAACACAAATACAGATGGTGAATCCCCCCAACGGGGGACAGTAATAAAACACTACAGAGGGTCTAACTCTTCCTGACTAAATCCAAAATAATGTTCAGGTGTATGTCCAGGCATTACAGTACTTAACTTCAACTCCCCCCCCCCCCCCCATATACACATGTCCCTGCATTATTTCTTTAGCTTTTTTCCTGTAGCAGGGAAAGAGCTTTTTGCTTAATTCCTACAATATGATTACTAGGCCTAATTTGCAATTGCCTATTTTCCTAATGATTGTTGAAATAGGATAATATCCACATACATCTCTGAGTGCTTGATTATTGGGGAAAGCACAATGGCTAAGTGGTTAGCACTTCTGCCTAGCAGAACTAGGGTTGTTGGTTCAAAACAGCCACATACATCTCTGAGTGCTTGATTATCAGGGGAAGTACAGTGGCCAAGTGGGTAACACTTCTGTCTAGCAGCACTAGGGTTGTTGGTTCAAATCCCAACCATAGAATTACCTGTCTGGAATCTGCATGTTCTCCCTGTGCCTGCATGGGTTTCCTCCCACACTGTAAAGACATGCTGGTAGTTCAATTGGCTCCTGTCTAAATTGGTGTTACTATATCAGTACCTGAAAATAAAAAAATCCATTCACATCACTGGAATTACCTGCATTTTTCAGTCATTTTACCACATTGGTTCAAACATCAACCTATGGCAGGTGGAGACAGTGAACTTGAGCATATGAAAAAAAAGGATTTTAGGTAATATTTGCAGCATGCCAAATTTAAGGTAAATGTATGCAGCAATAAGCGAATAGTGCTGAGCACGATGGACTCCCTAGGAACCATTAGTATTGATAAAATCATTGAGTAACCATTTGCCAAATATCTAACAGTGATTGGCATCAGCTAACATTGACTGTATTAAAAATGAAGGAAATTGTTTTGGGATCTAGACTTCCAACTAGAGAGTAGAAAATTCAATATTAGACACAAAGCACCAAATGTGACTAAATTGGGGATCACATAGTGAATCTGCCTGTCGAATGTGTCATATAGAAATGGTAAATGTGGCAATTTGCATTTGATAGAAAATGTGAGCATGAAAATCATTCAATCATCTGTCTTTAAAATGTTTCCCTATCAATTTAGAAATTGCAAATAAAAAAAGTGTAATTATGAGATTTACAGTTTGATTTATAAAAAAAGCGAACTAACAGAAACATTTCTTCTTGCTCATAGAAGCCAACCAGGATCTTCATTTCATTTTCAAACCTGGACAGTGGAAATGACGGTTGGAAGCTGGTAGTTATATTTATATTTAAAGCTGTACTAAACCCTCCTATCCTTTTCAGCAAAGGAAGCTGCCATCTTAGCATCTGTTTGATCTGCAACTACCATGGTACTGTCCATGTAATCAGTTATGACACCAGCCATTTGATGGTTTGAAAGTTTGGTTGAGAGCACAAGCAAATGTGATAGTTAGCATTCCAAACGTGTCTGCAGTGTAACTGTTGAAACTGTTAAATTGATGGATTCAGTCCTGCTTTAAAGCTATGTAAATTGCATTTTCACTGCAAAAATGCAAGATCACCCCCTAAAAGAAGGACTTAAAATTCAACCAAAATAATACTGTAAATGCTAGTACGTTACTTGCAAAGCAGAAGTATTACAAGTTCTAATTTTAAAAATTGCAATTTCAGTGTTCAATATATACATAGCAGTACAATATGTGATAAAATTGCTAACATCTAATGTCAGATACATGCTAGCCCCACATGGTGCTTGATCAATAATAAAGAGACAGACCAAGTGCAGCTTGGAAACAGTAACTACAGAAGGTGATATGTTTTATGATCAGGAACTGAATCAAGATTTTCTTTCCAGAAGAGAGATGTGGGTTATTATATTTCTGATAAGAACATTTCCCTCCAGGAAACAATTTCTGTTTAATATTCTTTGTACATCTGAGGAATCCTGTGCCAGCAGTGATCTACTTACTTTCCTTCCTGTGTTATGACATCAAATAGGTAGTTTTGTTTTTTTTCAAGAGAGAAACGCTTGCAGTTTTAGTAATATAAGTGGAACTCCAGCTGAAAACAAGTTACCTTAGACAAACAGTTGAAGTACAATCACGTGACCTGTTTTACTTGCCAAAGGGTTGCAATTCTGCTCAGGCTCTGTAGTGATTAAAAAGAAACTGAAGTTTGGAAATAGCCCCAAGAAAAAAGGGCAAAGAACTAGTCACCAGTGGTGTTGCCTGTCGTCTCCCCATAACTGATTTTTCCCCATAAGGGTAGAGACAAGAGTATTGGGACACCCCTCCAAATAATTGGATTCAGGTGTTCCAATCACCTCCGTGGCCACAGGTGTATAAAAATCAATCACTTAGGCATGCAGACCGTTTATACAAACATTTGTGAAAGAATGGGTTCGCTCTCAGGAGCTCAGTGAATTTAAGCATCGTACAGTGATAGATTGCCACTTGTGCAATAAGTCCATCCGTAAAATTTCCTTGCTAGTAAATATTCTACAGTCAACTTTTAGTGGTATTATAACAAAGTGGAAGCAACTGGAACAACAGCAACTTAGCCACGAAGGGGTAGGCCATGTAACATGACAGAACGGGGTCAGCAAATGCTGAAACGCACAGTGCGCAGAAGTTGCCAACTGTCTGCACAATCAATAGCTAAAGACCTCCAACCTTTGTGTGGCCTTCAGATTAGCACAACAACAGTGCGTAGAGAGCTCCATGGCATGTGTTTCCATGGCCAAGTAGCTGCATCCAAGCCTTACCTTACCAAGTGCAATGCAAAGCGTCTGATGCAGTGGTGTAAAGCACGCCACTACTGAACTCTAGAGCAGTGGAGATGTGTTCTCTGGATTAACGAATCATGCTTCTCTGTCTGGCAATCCAATGGCTGTGTCTGGGTTTGGCAGTTACCAGTAGAACGGTACTTGCCTGACTGCATTATGCCAAATATAAAGTTTGGTAAAGGGGGGATTATGCTGTGGGATTGATTTTCAGGGGTTGGGCCTGGTCCCTTAGTTCCAGTGAATGGAACTCTTAAGGCGTCAGCATACCAAGACAATTTCATGCTCCCAACTTTATGGGAACAGTTTGGGGATGGCCCCTTCCTGTTCCAACATGTTTGCGTACTAGTGCACAAAGCAAGGTTCATAAAGACATGAATGAGTGAGTTTGGGGTTGAGGAACTTGATTGGCATGCACAGAGTCCTGACCTCAACGAGATAGAACACCTTTGGGATGAATTAGAGCAGAGACTGCGAGCCAGGCCTTCTCGTCTGACATCAGTGCCTGACCTCACAAATGCACTTCTGGAAGAATGGTCAAACATTCGCATAGACATACTCCTAAACCTTGTGGACAGCCTTGCTAGAAGAGTTGAAGCTGTTACAGCTGCAAACAGTGGGCCAACTCAATATTGAACCCTACAGACTAGGACTGGGATGCCATTAAAGTTCATGTGCGTGTAAAGGCAGGTGTCCCAATACTTTTGACAATATAGTGTATGTTCAAATCTCCCTTTCCTCTGAAGCCTAACCCATGTTCAGATCGCATTCCATAGGCTACTGACAGGTGGTGAAGAAGTGATGCAACACCTCCTCACCGCCTGTTTTAACACTGTTTTTGCCAGCAAATGCATGGGGCATTTGTGGCAGTTCCCCATTCACTTGAATGTGTAGCGTTTTGTGGGCTTGGTGCCTGCCGATTGCTAAAAGTCAGATCAACTCTGCCTATTGCAGCTTAAGGGAAGGTGGTTGTCAGGCCGCAAAAATGCGTGTCAACCGAACATTTTTGCCTCCCCCCAACTGCAAGTCTAAATGAGGACTTACAGTTATTGCCTTTTGTCCATTCCACCAGCCCCTCCCTATTAGATCATAAGCTCCCAGGAGCAGGACCCTCCTAACCCTCTTGTATTGAACTGTATTGTTGCTGTATTGTCTCCTTTTATATTGTAAAGCTGATCAAACTGTTGTTGCTATATAAATCCTGTATAATAATAATACCATGTCTTGCCTTGTACTATGTACTGTCTGGAGGTGACCATCTTAGTAGAGGTAGGATTTTGCTTCCTCATGTCAGAGCCTCCAGCAAGGAGAACAATTAGCAGCAGAGTAGTGATGACACCAAATCTCACTCAAAATCTCCTAAGACTAGCAGTCAGGCTCACATCCATGAGGCTGTAGGCACAGTAAATAGACACAATCACATACCAAGAAGTACACTGTTGTTTTTCAGGAAAAATCCCAGACAAATGGTATATTTTCTGGGTGTTGCTTAGGCACAAGATGGTTATAGATGTTTTATCTAGCAGGTGTCCACTTTAATACATATCTGTCAGACAGCAAGCTAGAAAGGTGACAATTGTGTTATAAATTAAAAAATACAGTGTTGCCACCTTCCCAACTGCAGCCTTCTGACTGCACAATGAAGGAGCAGCAACAAAATGACTGGTCATCAAATATTTCTACTCTGCTCTCTCCCCCTTTCAGCATCAGCAAGCCCCTATATTCAAATAAGCCAGAAAGGTATATAAATAGTTCTCTACACTTAGCCAAAAAAATATATTGAATAATAGGAACTGCTGCAACTAGGATATCTTGAATACTAGATACAAGTGATAAATATAAAACAAACAATGCACTGTCCATTTAAATAATGAATAAACAGATTACCAAAAGGTGCAAAATATACTCAATATAAAATAATAATAACACAATTAATATATGATAAATATCACCTAAAAAGAAAAAAGTTCTTAACATAAAAAAGTGACAAAAGTGCTCAGCGCTTGTAAACTTCTTCATAAAAGGTGCTCCAGTACTCAAAAATTTGCTCCTTAACCACCTCCCGTCCGACCGTTGTATATAAACGGCTGGATGGTGGCAGTGCAGGAGCGGGTGACCATTTATAAATGGCCACCCCGCCCCCTGCTTATGCGTGCTCCTTGGGAGAGCGCAGCACCGCGATCCGGTGCCCGCTGTGCCCTCCGGATACAGTGGAACACCGATCGTCATACGGGACCTCTGTGCGAGGTCCCGATCATGTGATCACTGATTGGCCATGGTGACACTGTACTGCTAGGGTGACAGTATGTAAAAAAAAAACATAAATAATAACATAAAAAATAAAAATAAAAATTAAAAAATGTTTTTTTTTTAAAAAATGATAATTTTTGGTTATAAACTAATTTGGGTTCTTTTTTTTTTACTAAAAAGATAACTGAATACATTTATGATGAAATATTATTTATTTTCAAAATTTTATGGGTACAGTGTCGCATGACTGCACAATTGTCAAATTGTGATAGCGCTGAAAGCTGAAAATTGGCCTGGACAGGAAGGGGGTGAAAGTATCCGGACATGAAGTGGTTAACCACTTTACAACCGTGCTCTAGCCAAATGACGGCTACAGAGCGGTTGTCCAGTTCTGGGAGGGCGTCATATGACATCCTCCCAAACCGCGTCCACTTGAGCCCATTTAAAATTAATTTTTAAATTATAGTTTTATAGAAATTGTCCAGCAGGACAGTTTTGCATCAGCGGGAACATGGACAGCTTTATTGAACCACTGGCCAATTTGTATCCACCAGTCAAAGAAGGTCTAGTGCCAAAAAAGCATGTGTCACTGCTACAACTACTTGAATACAAAAACCTTTTTTTACTGAAGTGAATCAGATTGGTATGCTGCTGCTGTATCTAAAAAAAAAACTAATTGTAAAAGAGAAAAATCAAATCCACATCCAAATAGGTGGTACCAGAGTTTGCTGTCACTGTGGTTGTCCTTAAAAATTCACACAAAAGTGCTGCACATATACATTATATAGTGCAAATGATGAATACCTAAGGAAACTAGTAAATTCATATATATCAATAAATGAATATTAGTTAAAGTGAAAAAAAGTCCAATAAAGTGCCAAATGTGAATGATGTAAAATCTTGAGCCAGTGTTCATAAATTCCTAAACCATTGTGTACCTCCACTAAAACTCTAAATGGCTCCAGCTTACAAGAATGCTTTGACCACCTGTTACAGAGCAAGCTTGTTGTATGGCCAGGCTCCCACTACAGAGCTGCCCACAATCTCCACTTAAGGTCAGGACACGCAGATCAACCTTGGGTTCAACAATGTACAATAACTAAAATGTTTCTCATTTATTTAAACCAAGTAACATAATTTAAAAAAAAGCATCAAAAACAGGACATACAGTATGTTCCTATATCACACGAACTCCTTCCTATTTGAATATTTTTTTTATATTTAGAATATGCACTATATTGTGACCAATTTACATCTGTTGGTGTGCTTGCTGCTATATTATTGATACGTTTTCACTTTTAGCGCAGTTGCAAGTTTTAATCATTGCTTAAAACTCATACTGTTTCAAAACAATATTAAGGCATCCCCCAAGCCTGTAATTTAAAATATGTGTATATGTTCAATGTGGCCTTCAAGCTGCATGAAAAGGACCCTCTTCCTACTACAAAGTATTTTTAACATTTTTTGCATTGGTACACATTCCCAATGGCAGTGTCCACCTTTCCATGCCTTGTGACAAACTTTTACTTTTACAATTTTTTATTGATATTAAGAAATTACATCAAATATGAAATGAAAACAAGGTTAAAAAATCAAGAGGTACATCAGCATAAAGTATGAACTTTAAACAGATAGTCCTAAGACAGAGAAGAAGAAGTAATTATCCTCCTGACAATAAAAACTATAGTTTGAAATTGTGCATAATACAATGTATGTAAAGAGGAGGATATAAATCCAAAATTCTGTTACATGGCTTCTAAAAGTACAAGCTACAATAAGGAGATATGAATTTGAGCGGAGGAAACCTAGCCCTTGGAGAGTAAGGGGTACTCTCTGGTGAGCAGAGAGATGAGGAACAGATAAAGAGGGAAAAGGAATAAAAAGAGTGAAGATAGGAGGAAGAAAAAGCCAGGAAGCAATCTTTGGAGTCATCTGATACCTCTGTGTGAAAAGTTAAGCGAAATAATAAGTAGATATTTACCGCTTGAGCCTGGGGCTCAAGGATCAGGTAAAATTTTGCTAGTCGTGTGGGGACTAGGTACCATCTAGTTATGAGTTTCAGATTTGCTTCAGTAAAGGAGACATTTAAGATACCATAAAGGAGTGGAAAAATTCCTTATGACAGTCTTCTAACATGCAGAGAGGTTTGTCTGCGTCTTTGGCTAGAGACGTATAAATGATGGAGATTCTCCCTCTCTGCTTCGAGATCAGAGCACATTACTGTTCACAGGGTGAGATCCAGGCTGGTTCAGATATGTCCACCCATATAGAGTGTAAAAAATGGGAAATTTGTAGAAATCTAAATCTCTCCATCTGAGGCATTTCTAGGTTACTCATACAGAACCCTAAGGTGAGCGGTCCGGTAGATTTGAAAAAGGGACTTATTCTGTATAGTCCTTTGTCTAGCCACCATCAAAAGGCTTTAATATTCATTCCTAGAGGGAAAATGGAATTATGAAAAAGGTGTGCGAGGGGGCAAAGATAGGATGTCAGAGACATGTGTTGTCGGAGACCATCCCCGAGATTCATGGAATGCCAAGGTTGGGGAACAACTCTTAATGGGGCTCCACAAAAGTTAATCAATAGTGTCATGAGGGCCTTCCTGTCTTTCCATATGGACCCAGTCTGGTTTAAACTCCTGGGCATAAACTATTGAGGGCTGAGCGGTAATACCAGAGTAGATTAAGGAGACCCAAGCCCCCTTGGGACTG